GCCGCGCGGAGGGCCCGCTCTGAGAGACCCGCGAGCGCGCGGATCCGCCCCAAGCTGGCCGGGCTGGGCCAGGCCGGTGTGTCGGGGCGGGGCCTCGGTGAGTCTGTCTGCTGGTGTCTGTCCTGCATGCTGTCCTGTCATGACAGCAACCCAAACCAAACCCACTGCCCTCAAGTCAGTGCTGGCTCTTGGGGTGGGGGCACTGAACATAGGACGATCCCGTATCCCCTGTAGCTTCGCCCCATCGGCCTTCAAATGAGTGCCAAGTATTTCTGCCCAAAGTCAAAAGGACCCTGGTGCACGTGCAGAATAGGCTGTGTCAAGGGGTCCATGATGGCTCCTCGGGACCCCCATGGGACAGGGTGGAACGGGACGGTTTGGGTTTTTTTTTTTTTTAAGGTTGTTCAAACAAAACCAAAACCCAATCCTGCCTTTCAGTTCTCGCTAGGCTGGAACCTGAACTCTGGTACTGGTAGGAGCTCAGGACACATGAACTCCAGATCAGATAAGTCCCTCATCAACAGAAATGGGAGTGGTGATACCAGGAGCGTAGGGGGAAGGTGGGAAGAGGAGGTGAAGGAAGGGGGAACCAATCACAATGATGGACACATAGCTACACACGAACAACAGAGACCGTGGGGGAAGGGAGACAGCGGTTGGTGTAAGATATGGAAATAAGGATCATTTATCATTTATCAAGGGGTCATGGGGGTGCTCAAATAGAAAATAAATGTTTTGAAAAGGATGATGGCAGCCTATGTATAAATATGCTTGATACAATTGATGTATGGAATGTTAGAGGAGCTGTCAGCCCCCCAATAAAATGACTCAAACAAACAAACTAAAAAACTCACTGCCATGCAGCGTATTCCTACTCAGCTTGTAGAACATCAAATGTGACTTGGTGGGGCGGTCGGGTTAGCGTTGGACTGCCAACTGCAAGCTTAGGGGTTCAAACCCACCTGCCTGAGAAGGGGAGCTGGGTGGGGGGCAGTTCAGACGGTTTCTGTAAAGGTGTACAGACTCGGAAACCCTATAGGGTCACTCTGCGGCAGAAAGGGCAGTGGATTTTTTTTTTTTCCAAATCTTTATGGAAGTAGAAAAGTAGGGAGTGCCTGAATTCAAAGACACATGTCAATTAGAAAATAAGTCCCAAGCTGAACATTTTGAAGAGTATGTTACTTTTCACTGTGGGTAAATGCCGTGGTGTTTGTATTCGCCCAAGCCATGCGTTACAAAACTGCACGTGAATTAACTGGTTCCAAGCACCCGGAATGGATAAATATTAGCAAGAATGACTAGGAAGAAGCAGGTGGGAATGAAGGCTCCGGCAGGCAGATGCCTGGGTCCCTAGCTGTATGTGGCCTTTGGACCTGGGGCACTCTCTGCTTCCTCTTCTCTACGACTGAGATTACAACGCGTAACCAGTACTGGCATCCGTTCCAGTAGTGATTATTGCTGAACACGAGGCTGGCAAGCCAGCTGGATGACTGCTCCTTGCATTTACACTCGGTTTTCTAGCAAGAAAACAGAAGTGAAAAGAAGTAAAATCTAATTTTGTCTTGTTTATTATCTGGAAGGACTTAAGTTTCAGAGACTGGGAAATTATTGATTGGTGCCAGGATATAACACAAAGACTACCTTGTGCCAAAAAACAAGAACTTAACTCGTTGACATCCATTTAATTCTGGCTCATAGCGACCCTATAGGACAGAGTAGAACTGTCCCTGTGGGTTTGTGATATTGTAACTCTTTGTGGGAGTCAAAAGCCTCAACTATTTCCATTAGATCCACTGGTGATTTGCAGTTAGCCAAAAAAAACTTTGTCCGCTAGGCCATGAGGCTCCTACCTTGTACCAGGCACAGTGAGTTTAAAGGCAAATGAGCCCCCTCCAGCCTCTGCCATCATGAAGCTCTCTCTGCCTACTAGCTAAAACAGACATTGATCAGCCATTCAATAGAACACAATGGGTTAAATGCTTCATCAAAATAGATGTGAAGGACGGTTGGCTCTATCTGAATAGGCCGAGGAAGGCTTCCTGAGGAAGTGATGCTACCCAGGGTCTTGAAGAGCTTGAAAAAGGTCTTGGTGGGCAAGCAGAGCCCTTAGAACAGATTTCAATCAACAGAAGGATTTGCTCCAGCCAAGACTCCTCAGGCAACCTTCCAGCAGGATTATCATCTGAACCCTTCCAGTCTCTCT